CAGACGAAATCGTGGGATGAAGCTAGTAAAGAATTCACAATTCTTGAGTGTACCGTTTGCAAATGCGCAGCCGGCTGGCAGACATCACAATATTCGACATTTAGTGCCCTCGTGTCGTATATTATACGCGTTTGTCTCATACGTTTTACAACGAGCACAATACTGAACTGGATTATCGTATATACCATAAATAAGTAGCTATTACTAATAGAATTGTTTTAGTTCTATACTATACTAGCTACCCGCCCTGGCTTCACATAGATGTACATATATATTTTACATATAAACCCTCGAATTCCTGAATCACTCTATCTATTGCTAAAAACTGCATTAAAATCTGTTGCGTAGTTTAAAAGATCTAAGCGATCAGACATCAGAAGCGACTTTATTTTATGCTAAATAAAGATTAGCTGAACAACTTCGTCTGCATCACACTTACTTGACATTTATCATTATGTTTAGCCCCATTTACATAATATCTTTTTAAATTATAGCCTATGTGTATTACTGTAAAGTTTCATCAAAATATATTCAGTTGTTTTTCCTTGAAATAGTAACAAATAACCATTCATCCAGACTCACAAACTTCCGTGTTTATAATATTAGTAAGATTACAAAGATGTTTTTCCCGATTTTCTTTGGTCTGTGTTATACACGTGTTGACACATATTTAACAATATACTTTGTGAAAATGTCGTTTTAATCATCAACCTATTTTTACATGAAACATAAGCACATAATATATAAAGATCAATGAAAGAAATAGAAACGTTATATTTACAGTGTGAACATGAGTTTATTAGTCACTAGTTAGAAGTTTAATTTTAATTATTAAAAATAAATATGTGGAATATCATTGGGGGACCATGAAGATTACTTTGTCATGTTTAGACACAATAAAAAAGTATTTGACCTTACTTTTGCGCTGTGGCCTAGTGGTTTAATAATAATAATAATAATAATAAACTCTTTATTGTGTACATAGAAGAAATACAATAAGAAAAAAATTAATATATGACTACGACCCCGAAAGTCGTGTTCAAAGTTCAAATAGGCTAATAAAACATTGTAAATTTATATTTTTGATTAACTCCCCTGTAATTGAATCACTGATAACAAAGAAAATTATTCGGGGAGACGAAAGACGACTGTAGGATCGCATATAACCACGTCGAATTCCATCTATATACATATCTAGCATGTGAAATCTATGAGCATGTTAAATATTCATTATAACTCTAACAGTTCAGTTCAGGTGCCTCTGGCTACCCCATCTCGAATAACCGTCGTAAAAATATATTATGACGTTACACAAAAACTAGACTGGCTTTTAATTATTAACTATCTATAAGAATCAAAATAACCGAATACTGTGAAATAGTAAATACTACAATGTCACAAATTATGAACGGTTCACAATCGTGCAAATGTCGTGTGGGAGACATCTCTAGCTGCGCGTCATTAAGGAGCATTCACGGGGTCCGACAATATTCTTCATTTGCGTACTGGGACATCATTTGGCGTATTGTGACGGGGCGGTCCTCCCTTACTGCACCGGTGCAATGTGCCAACGCCTTAATTGTACCCTTGTTTTGTACAAGTTAGTGTGACGTAAGTGTACTGTCATTTATCATGAGTTACTTGATGACCTTTATGGTCATCAAATAATTGTTACTTTGTTCATAGCTTTCTTTTCCAAATCAAATCAAAATCATTTATTCATGTAAGACGTTTTATCCGCTTATGAACGTTAAATTATTTGTAGATATTAATATTCTTTCCTTACCGTCCAGGTCAATTGAGAAGAAATAGCAAGAAACTCAACTTTTAAGGCGAACAACTTTCAATTATTAAAGCGCATATAAAATTCGAAATTAAAAAAAGCTAGTGTTTTTTACTTTTAAAAATCACAAACTTAAGTCTTAACCAATCCTAAATAAATACACAAATTACAGACACGTTTCGATGATATTACACTTGGTTCTTAAACGGACTTTGGCCCACCTTAATTAGATCTATTACCCAACGGTATGTAAATTGCTCAATCTGATAGTTTCCATTAAATAATAGCTTACATTTGTTAAAAAATAAATTATAATAATGTATAATTACGGTGACCTAGTTGTTACAATAACATGTAATAGGTATTATACCTACTTGTTCATTAGTCTTTATTACACAGCAATTATATTACGTTGCCATTTCAAATGTTTTATTTGTCTATAGTTTGTTGTTTTATTTATCTGTAGTTGTATACAGAGTTTTGTGCATATAAGTCTATTATCATTCTATATGACACGATAGTGGCAATCAAGCATACATACATATATATATTAAGAATTAAATTAATTGAGTTCCTATTATTATTATATGCTAGCGTTTACGTTAGCCTAGTAGGTACTTGAATGGTTATATGACCATATGGTTTGTCTAGAGTTTTATGTCTAGTTTTCCTTCACTACATTCTATTAATGTCACTAAAATAATACGTGATATTTAATTGAAATATATACCTAATGAAATTGACTGGGATTAATATATAATTAATTTAATTATTCGACACCCAATAGATAACGTGATTAAAAACAGGAAATTATAGACACATAACAATATCGACGCAGCAATATCTATAATGTTTAATTATAATTAAATTATGCCTAATTTATATTTTAATGGGATATTAAATTAAACTGCGCTGTGTAAAAAAAATTAATTACTTAGTATTCGGGCATCGGATTAAAAAGTATCCTAATAATAATGAGTAGTCACCTGTCTCTCTAATCTTTTCATGGTTAACACTAGTTATGCGGACTCTATTGGTTTGTAATAAGGTTACATTTAGCTTGTGGCAATTGATCGATCTAATGATATTGTAGACCGAACAGGTTGTGTAACGGTGCATTTGTTTTCGTAATAAAAGCCTCGATATCTTTCGACTCTGACTCACCGATTACCACATTATATTCATCTAGACATAATGCCTGTGATTAATAAGCCCCATTAACTCTAAACAAAGATTAATGCCGAAGCGGGATCACTCAGTGCCCTCTAATTGTATCCCTGTACCAAGAAACTAACCAAATAATGTATTCTATTATTATTTTAATTAAATTTAGTTTTTTTTTTGGGAGTAGCATCTAATTAATAAATCATGAATGTAATAACTTAGCTGTATGAATAAAAACGAAAGAATGTTCATTTTAAAGGTATGTGTAAAATAACGTGAGTATATTTGAAAAGAAACTATTTGTATCCTATTCCTATTATATTCTTCACTTTTCTATTCGACATAACACTAAACTCTTTTTAATTTAGTCATATTTTATGTTTCTTTGAATATTTCACTTCCTCATTCTTCTCTCTTTTAATTCTACGTGACCAGATTTTTAACATTTTCTTGACGAAGTACCACAGTTTTTTAACTTTCTCTAAACTTTATATCAGAATCTCATTATATTCTTCATTTCAATACCTAATTCTTCTTTTACTTCGTTCATGTTTTTGCTTTCAATTAAAACGTTTTTATTATATATCAAAACATGATTAATGTAAAGGAAGTTTTTAATCAAATATCTTCATTTAGTTTTCAACACAAAGAGCTTCAAGTTGGAGAAAGTTTTAACTAATATAAGATGCTTTAAACAGAGACTATCTGAAATCCAGTAAAGTACTTATCCCTTACAATGTTACTTACATTTACATTTAATTAAGTACACGACAAAGAATTAATTGAAAATAAAAAAAATGCTAGATTAGAATATCGGTCGCTATTGTAGTGGAAATAATTGTTGTGGTTGTAGTTAGGTTATAATAATAAAATTATTTATACTTTCTTAATTGATGTTACGTTTCATAATACTGGAAAGAAGTGCGTGCGCGCCGTGTCGTTGCGGCCCACCTGCGCCGGCGCATCATGATCGATCGGGTTAAAACGAATTAGCCCGATAATGGCTCATCCATCGAATTATTGAATTAAGCCGAAATTGAGCCCGACCTTTTCCTTGTAACCCGACTCTTAACGTAACGAGTTTCCTGTATGTAAGTACCTCAATATTATGTTGTTCTTTATCTCATCTTTATTACGTACGCTGTAAGTGTCAAAATTGGTATAACTTTGTGTATATCATAGTCGTATATTCAAGGTTCATAGTGGTTGTCCATTACTTGTCGGTGTTCGTGGGAATATTGAGGAATGAAATCACGATTCGGTTTCTGTAGAAATCTACTAATTATCGACTTAATTGGTAATTAAATATTTGTCGTCCAGTGTTTTTTATTGTTTGTTAATCATTAACGTAGTTATTATACATAGATATTAATGTTCTCCATTTGTTAATAAAATGTATAATTAATTAAAGTATACATGTATAGGTCTAAAACAAGCAACCGTGGTCGTGTTTTGGAACAATATAAAGTAGCTTAACGTATTTAGATTTTTATATTTATTTAATAAATTGCAATAATTTTTATTAAGAGATTTCGTTTCCGAACAGAATCCGTAATTTGCTTTCAACCGTATTCGTACCCTAGTAAATATATTTTATACCGTCAGCAGGTAGACATGAGACTCCGTCAAAATAATTCACTCGCAACTTCATTTCAGAATGCAAATAAACTCCAATTAGCGGCACTAACGTTTCTCGGTAATATTCATTATTTCAAGTCAGGATTTTTTTCTGCGAGCGCACCGCAACCGCCACGCCACCGCTCCTTAATTAACCAAGAACGGGACGGATCCTTCAGCGTTTGCTTATTAACGTCTAATCTTTGTTGGCGTCCGTCGATCTTAATTAATTCAATTAAAGTATTATGGAGTAGGTGAAGGTTGTGGCCCTCTTACTGAAATTTAAAAACTTAACGTCGTCGTCGTAACGACTCGCCGAGTATACAAGGGGAGGCGAATTAATCAAATAATACGGCGGAGGTGCGGGGCCGGCGCCCCTTACCTCACCCCCCCCGCGCAGCCCGCACGCCACCGCGTGGTTCAGTCGCGATCGAAACGCCGAATGGGGAAGTGTCGCCGATCCCCGTATTATTACTACTTTTTTCGAAGTTCTCTGTTCAGGTTTTGTTTTAAAGTTTCACAAGGAAGTTTTATGTGTCCAGTCTTTTATCCTGTCGAACTTAAAGGTTAAGAGACTGAAGTCGACGGTGTAGTTCATTCAGTTTATACGTTGATTGTGTTTTTTTGTTATTGTTGAGTTTTTTTGTTTGGTGCATCGTGCCGGTCCGGAGACCGACGGTTCCGACGAGGCACCAAGCCTGGACGCGGGGCGATAAACACCAAAGGACAGAGCCTTTAGGTAATTATTAAATTTTTTTGCATGATGTATTCAGCGCTATCCGTGGCAGTTACACAATGCAGCATGTTTGTAAACAGAATTCTAATATACCAACATAATGCAATATTTTCACGATATAGAAACAGTAGATATCGTGCTAAGTAGTAAAACAACCTTATCTACTTTTGTTAGCCATGGATTTGAAATTGACAAACTTTAACGGAAACGACCACGTGTACTTGTATAAGTTTGTTTGAAGCATAAAATATTTTTGTTTACAATAATCGTAAAGTGCGCAATAAAATATTAACAAAGACTTGAAGAAAAGCTATTCTGCGGCTTTACTTTGAACTTTCCAAGACTTTGTAAGCTGTCAATAAGAACCATTTTGAGCCCAGCATCAGAAGCCAGCTAAACAAAGAAGCTGTAAATGTAAAATGCATTCCGATAATAAGCACTCAAAGTGACAGCAATTTGCAAGAACAAAAACCATATACTTGGTATCTACCTACATACATTGTGTAGATACCTGATTCAAGTAAGCTAGTAGATAAAATAGAATATCATATTAAAGTAATTACATAAACTACACCTGTCAAGGATGGCAAGTCAGACAGTTACTATTATAACTACTTGCAATTTATAATTTTAATTATAAATATAAAAAAAAATACTTAATAATTGAATTCATCAAATCATAATGATAATTATAATAACAACAATGTATTATAATATACAATTACAATCATTAATTAGTACAGACATACATAAGCATATTGTACTTAAATACTGTACTAATTATTTTATCATGAGGTGAAATTCAATTACTAAGAGATAATTAAACCATCAGAGATTTAATTACTTTGAACATCAATTTTCTTTAAAATAAACCTACTTTTAATTAAAGCTTTAACGAAAAACAAATACAGGAGAGGAGCGGAGTAGGTACCAACCCTTGCCTACAGACTTCCCGTCATGGTGGGGTTGGGACGGCAAATCGTTGTTTAAGCCATTTATTTATGCCAATGACATTCAATTAGAATTATAAAGAGATTAAGATATATCGCATCACATCGCATTGTAACAACACTAAAATATCGATAATAATTAGAGAAAATCATTTTATTGTCTATGGTATACATACTTACACTACATAATACTAACCAAGTAATTTGGTATTGAACATTCTTTGGAAACTTATTAATATAAATATAAATATAAAAACAAGAAAAGGTAAACTTTTACCATCTACTTACTAATATAAAATTGTCGGTAATAAGACGGGTTGAAATTAATTTAAAACATGTCTAAGCAATATTATACGGACCACTTCATTTCATCGCCGGTTTAATTAAAAACGAGTGCCCGCACCTCTCCCCCATTTCGGGTTGGAGTACCCCTGCCCCGCGTGGGCGCTCCTCTGCTTATATTTAGATAATTGTACAATCATCTAAATTAATGAGTCCTCTCGTCCGGTCGTGGCCTCTATTGTATTGTATTTCTGCTGGCCAGACAACGGATACACGGTGACAATTTTAATTTAAAAATTCTAATTAATTCATTCATTTCATCCCCCAGTTTTTGGGCCAAATATTTTTCCGGAGGCAGGTTTTATATTTCCTTGTATATGTCGTTAAACTGTAACCGGAATAGCTTTATTTAGGTCCTAGGGACTTTTCTCGTGTATTGTTATGAATAAGGAGAGATTTTAAAGTAAAGTTAAGTGCATATATTTTATCCAGCCCATTTTTGTTTCAATAAAAATAAAATAACCAAAATATATGCTTGTGTGTAATGAAATTATATTGCAACACCGGTAAAAGAATACAATCTTTATTCGTTCATAACCCGTTGTTGACGACCGACGGTGATAGAGTTGAATGCAATTAAAAGTTTCACTGCGTGCGTGGACGAGGAGGACGCCTGCGCGATTTTACTTTAATTTATGCTGGTGATAAGCCCAAGTTACGAGAGCCAATTAATTAGTTATTTAAAGTAAGATTCCCATTTAGATATTAAATTAAATTTAATAGATTTAGATTACACGCAACTTATACCGAATGTTTTATAATAGAAGGAGATAGACTTCCGTGTGTGTTCGGTATAGAATAGACCACCCCGTTATCCCATCGGTATCGTAAGAGCCGGCTGAGGGAACATAAATTAGGCAAGAAACGGGCAGCAGCGTTTCCTGAAATATAATTAAACGACTATTCGCCATTATTAGTAATGTTTAATTAGAAGATTTAAAACTATGAAAAAGAAGGGATATCGTTTCACTTTTAACGAAACGGGAATATCTTTCAACGTTTCTTCTATGAACCAATTTAGGTCATCATCATTGCAAAATGAATGAAGCTCAATAATTAAATTAATACAATAATGGAACTTGTACATAATCTAATAGTACATCAACTATCATTGCTCTTAGCAAATTAAATGCATCAAGCAACAGAAGGATGGCGGATGGAGTGGGCACGACACCCCGGAAGGCCCGGGGCGATCCATCTAATGAACCCGTACCACCCTCACAGCCTGATTTATTAACGAATTAAACGCATTCTGCTGCAACCCTCATGCAAATATTCGATATAGTGTTTGTAAATTATGTAAAACAAGATTAGCCAAAATCTTTTCAGTTCTATGAAAAAATATCAAAGTTCGCTACAGTTTATAATTAGTATCCATCTATTTATATGTTTTTTTATATACTTATGTATTTATTTTATAACTTATGTACTTAACATAATATAAAAATGGTAGACTGTTGTTTCTATTACATTAAATAAAAATGTTAACTATACAGATAACACTAAAACTGAGCATTTTCTTTACTTTCAGGGTACAGCGACAAGTTGTTTAAACATGTGGTATAGATCATTTTGCAACACTTTGATAAATAAATTTCATTCCAGATTAAAATTATAAATAACTAAATAATAACGTTTGTACTTTATAGATGAGTACGTTAATATCAAAGCCAGACGCTATTCTAAAATGCAGAGAGCGACAGGTGTGCGTTCCCATGTTCCTCTTATAAAAGCCTTTTATTCGGAGGAGGATATTCTAACACCACAAATGAGAGTCGATTGTAGAGATAAGAGGATTAGTAAAGTATCACTAACATCAATATTTATATTCAACAATCGCTCAATACGACTACATGTTTACAACATCTGTAATGTCCTCTGTAACGCCTTGTTTACCTTGTCTCATAAAGTTCCCATCATTTATTAAATTCTTATTTATGTACACACTCACATCTTTTCAATTTGGTATTGAATAAATGGAAACAGTCTCGATGCTTCTTATATTATTGTTGCATCCATTATTCAGTATACAGGCCGACAAGGGATCGCCGCCCGATGCTGCTAAATTATTAAACACGCGTTATAAACACGCCACCCCAAACTCATCTTCAAATGTCTCCATACCCTATGCTGATGTGAGAATCATTGTCTTAACTTTAGCTTCTTCTAAACTCAACATTTTTCCCTACAGAATAATGATATCCTTAAAAAGATATTCGCATTTCAAGCGGAAAGTTATAGCTGGACGCTCAGTTAAATCTCAGTTTAACTATTTAAGGCTTACTGGAATTCTCATTGAGCCAACAGGCTCATAGTAGAACACCTGCTTTGATATCGCGCATGCCCTCTCCCCAGTCCGTAAGTCCACATTGACTAAACCGGTTTCGATTACAGGTTATAGCTGCCTACTTATCCGTTTGGCGGAAACGAACCTCTCACGTTGGTTGTTCTGCATATTCACAAGACAATTGTAAATTTTTCCATAAACAATTTTACTTTCATCGGTTGAGATACTTAGTCAAATTCCAACAATAGGTAAATGAGGCATAACCGAATTCCATTTTGAATATTTGTTTTTTGACTATATTTACAGAACGATTACCGCGCCGTTACCCACTATTCTTGGAAGAAGCAATTCAACTTCCATACAAAAATAAACATAGTCACCGTAGTTTATTTGTCTTGTGGGGAGGTGGTCCTCAGCCATGAAACTAATAATTACTTTAAGGATTTATGGATATTGGAAGGCACATTTATTTTAATTGTAATATTAATGTCATTTGTTAATAAATATTATTAATTTACTTTCAAGCAAGACAATTCACAGATTTCCCAGACACCTTCGTTTGTTGTTTATAATAAAATTATATAATAGTATCAAATATTTCTGAAAATTGTATTTTTTCCTTTGAGGAATCTATTGGTATATCTGATATGAATTATAACAAGTCATTTAAGATCATATCTTTAAACAAGTACTTATTTAGCAAATCTAATTAATCCACGAATAGCTGTATGGGTACGACGAATTGAATCTTATTATTCAGCCAAATATCTTTATCTTTAAAGATCTCATGATCTTTCATCTTACAATGTTAATAATAGTTTTGATGTCAATGATAGAAGCCTCTAACTTTGTACGAAGACAACGTAAAGGACAGAGCTATCCTTCTTTCTTAGCGAGTGTACGAGATAGAAGATTACCATAATTTCTCTCCGCGTGCGGCCACTCAACTTGTACCAGTCATCCTATTTGATTGTGGAGGGAATTTCGTGTTGTAATTGGTACTAATTATTGTTTTGAGAAACGCCTCTCATATGGACTGTTGTGATTCTAACTTCATCTTGATCAAGGTACTTTTTTATAATGATGATACGGTGTACTTCAATGACTTTTGTCTATTGCATTTTACTAATGAGCTTTTTAAGCTATAAGTTAGTAATATAATTATATTACTAACATTTTTGCTAATAAGCAAAAGTGTTTTAAAGTCGTATAAAATGAATCTGTATAGTACATAATTATTGAACATTAAACTTAAGATAAAAAAACAATTATATTTCTAAAGAACTACTACTTAAATGTTTTTATATATAGTTATTACGACGGAAAAGTATGTAATAGGTCTTATTGTATTCATAACAGAGTGATTAAAATAGGAATATCATGATAAAGAAAACTTTACTGTATCACGTTTATTGCTTCATTTC